TCATCTGGCAGATCGACTGTGGGGAGTGACAAAGTAGAAGAGAAGGAAGTCAATTTTCACCTCAGGGAAGATGACCAGCTTAAAAAAGACAATGAGTGAATTCTTTTAGATACAACCTTGTTGTCCAGTTTTGCTATCTAATGCCCTAAAGAGGCTTTGATCAAAGTTTGCTAAAGCTACAAAAACACAGACCTGCTCCCAGCCTGGAAAAGGTCACATATAGAGCTCATAGGATATGACTGAAGCCCACAGAAAGCTACAGTTGACATGTTAAGCATCAGGACTGCAGGAGAAAATACGTAAATGTATCTGCACATAAGTTATCCTGATTTTAAAAGTAAATCATCAATTCCGATTTGTTATAGAGACACAGAGATTGCAAATAGCAGGAAGTGGTTACTTGGTTTTAAGTAGCACACCTAAACAAGTTTAAAGGAAAGACTTTTCTTGCTACCTGCAAACTGTGAAGCGTTCCCACAGACGCTCAGTTGCTCTCACAGTAAACAACACTCCTCCACAGAGTTCTACCTCCAAGAAAACCAACCAGAACTTTACTAAAGCTGTGCTAGGTTGCCAGGAATTAACACTGGCTGCTGAACAAACGAGGCAGGAATTCAGAGGTCAGCACTTGCAATTTCCTAAGAGGGTCCCAATGAGTAGATTTTAACCTCTAAGCAGCAGGAAGCAAAGTTAACTGCTAAGCCGAGTTGAATTCAAGGTACATTATGGTAAAAAGAGGAAAGCAGAATTCTGAACTTCATCCAGGCAGGTGCCTTGTTGGCCCCCAGAGGCAGGTACTGACATACTGAGAATCATCTGTGAGGATCCCACACAGGTTACAGGTTCCTACCTTCATCCAGGTACTGAAGTCGCTGGAAATTAAGGGGTATTGCAGTCAGCAATTCCAAATGAGGCTTAAGCTTCTTCAAAGTCAAGTCATTGTGGCACTGGGGCACTGAAAAGATCTCATTAGTTTCAGCTAGACAGAGCTGGACACTGAAAGTCCTTGGGGGAACAAAAGTCATAGCAATGACTCCACTCCTGACTACAAGTCTGTGTATCTTTCCTCTCAAGAGTTTGATACCATTTGAAGGCATCTAGATCTTGCAGAAATTCCTCCCTTCCCTAGAAATTCCCTAAATCATCAAGATTTCTTATATCATTAAGGATAGATTTGCTTGTTTATTGCTAGCACATTATGATATTCAAGCAGAATAAAGTGACATCATAGTTGTTTGGTGTGACATAGTGGCCTGTAGGAACTTACCTGCATACAGAGAGGAGATGACAGGTTTTTGTTGTTTTTCCTGCCCATCTTTTGATTTTCACTAGGACGACAAAAAAGATAGGCAGTCTAGGAAGAGAAATTACTTATAAACACCTTCCTTCAACAACACTGTGCTGCCCCTGTTTTCTTTGTTCAGATTTAGATCTCAAACCTAAGGGCATATGGATGTTTGTTTCCAATTTATTGCACAAGGGTCCTATGTCCTATTTGAAACGTCTGGATAGGTGTAGTGGGGCAAGAGGGGGAAGGAAAACAAAAGAGCATTTTCTGTCCTCATCTTTGCATCAGCTAAAATCCTGCAGAGAAAAAAGAAAGATGATTAAATTCCTTAGCAGTAGTCGGGAGAGGTTCTAGAGTACACACTGGAGCTGCCCGTGAGCATCTGAAACACAACCAGGAGGGTGACTGCAGAACAGAATATACAGGGAGGCTTCTGAAGGGCAGCAAAGCCAACCCAGCTGTCATTGATTTTTTTTCTTTTCCCAAGGAGCCAGCAGCTATCTAGAATTCTTTAACATAAGAAGCCCAAAAGCGACTCAAATTTAAGATGAGTCCTAACATCCTTCCAGGTTGACGTATCAACGAAGGTTTAGGATAGGGATTTGAAAGCAGTTTCACCCAGCACACATGACTTCTCTCCATTTACGATACACCTTGCTAGAGTCCTAGTTCCAACAGAAGAATTCTAGTTTCAAAGCCCTTCTGGCAAACTTGCTTTAAGGAAAAGGTGCAGAAAGATCCACATCAAATCCCTGGGTATCTATGAGATCTTTATTTTACAGTATGAAGGATTCCACACTGAATGCTGGTTTAGGAGATGACAGAGTGTTTATGCTTGGGAGACATTTCCTTAACCAAAAATGCATTCATGTCCTGCTTATGACAAAAGTCACTTACAAGTTAATTTCATAAAACAGTCACAGGATTTATTGAGATAAATACAAATAAAAAGTTACATAGATTCTCTATTCTGACAAATGAGTGGCACTTCCAGAGTGCCCCCACTTATTTGGGCTCTAAACAACACTGTGTACAGACAAAATTGTCACTAGGCAGCATCCTGTCGGACGCCAAGTGTGTATCTTACATAACATACCAGTGAGCTTGAAGTCTAAGCAACATGACTGACATGCTTTGGATCACAAGTGCCTGATAATTACCTAAAGCATCCAAGCAATATTGCACCACTAACATTATTTTCATGTTCCTTAGTCGGAAGTGTTTTAAGTGGTATTCTTCCTGCCTTTGTGTGCGAGTGGACCAACTACCTAGTTCTGCTCCATCCGGCTTTTTAAAATATATATTTTTTGCATAATTCAAAGAACCCAGAGAATTGTATGTGAATACATAGCTTTACTCTTCATTGCATACATTTGTCTAGTACAAGTTGTAAAGTGCAGTCTTTAGTCATGCTGAAATCATATTTCTATTATAAAATTAAAACCAAAAGGCAAACCTTGCAAAGGGACCTACACACTACCTACAAATAAAAGAGCTATGTTTTAATCTCCTATTAATGCATGCAACTACAAATTTAACACCTTTTGTATTTATTTTTTCAAAGCTCTGCTGAAACCATATCATTTAAAACAGACATGAATTTCTAGAGCTAGAGAGGTACCCAAAATATTTTAAAAAACAAGATCTTTGTTCAGCCTTTTAGTTAAAGCTCATAGCTAGTGGCTTACTGTTAACACGTGTTTCAATTGAGAACTTTAACGAAAACTACCCACACTTTCTAACACACGTGGATGCTTGTGTTTTTGAGTGAATTATTGCAAGAGAAGGTAATTATTTCAGATTACTTGACAAATAGGAACTAGATTGGGTTAGTGTTCCAAGTATCTAATTTATATACAGTACATTTAAAACATTTGTTTATATATACATACTTAAAAAAATTTTGATCAGTACTGAGAAATTTAATGAGCTGTCAATAAAAAACAAAAGTAAACCCTTGTCAGAACAGTCTTAGAAAACTTGAACTGCTAGAAAATACCATTATAATGCCAGCATTAGAAAAGAGATATTAGAAATAGAAAAAAAATTTTGCTAAGAAATTGCAATCATAAAAAGTTAGTATTGAAGAGGGATTTGTTTTAAATTATATAAACAATGCATAATGTTGCAGAATTCACAGAGTTTATACTGTTTACTGTAATAGCAGTGATAGCAATGATATATAACATTTTATGGTCTTACAAGAAAACATTTAGTACAAGTACTGTACATTATAATACAAAACTAGCTAGACTTACACAAAACTGAAGCCCCAAGAATAAAAATTAAGAAAAAAAAGTATAGCCCAGCTGAGGAACCTACCCGCTGTATTGCGGACAATCCAGATAAAAAAAGGTAGTCCCTGTTTTCCATCAAAAGCTTTCACCCAGTTCAACTAATTAGCATAGTAGTGAAATAAGGGTAAAGGAATATTTCCACTGATCTACCTAGGATAGTTCTTTGTGTGAACATGGTAATTTATTACATGAGACCATTCTTTAGTAAGTAAGCATTCATTTTTGGACAGGTCCTAAATAAGCTGCAGATTTGGGACACAGAGGACTGGATTCACCCAAAAGTATCAGCTTTATCAGTATCAGCAATTCTGAAAAATTGTTTACAAGCTAGCAGGTTTTATTAGAACTCTATTAACATAAATGGCAAATACTTGTGTGAGTTTATCTTTTAAATATCTATACACATAGACTTTTGTATATACACAGGAGCACACACACATCAATAAACACTTGCCATTTGGAGCATTACAGAATTTAGAGATCCCAAATAAAATCCCCTTACCTCTTGCTTAGGAATGAAAGAGCAGGTTCTCGGGGATTTGAACGCTGGACCAGCTAAAAGGTGTGTGTGGTTTTTTTTTTTTTCCCCTCCCAATCAGGTGTGCATGAAAGACGCGTGCAAAACTTAAGCACTCTGTAAAATTCTGTAATATTCTTCTGAAGATATATCACATTATTCCAGGAAATTTGAATTCCTTATCTGAAGTGAACTTAACTAGGGTAGAAAGAGTAAGTTTCAGTTTGGGAAATGAACAGTCTATATACAACTATAAGCTCTTGCAGTAACAAAAACTGTGTTAACAACTGTAAGACTATGCTTAGAAGTAACAAAGTAATATAAAAGTCATAATATACAAAGAATGTTGAGAGCTCTGTGCTTTAAAAAAATATCACAATAAGTAAAAATGAGCCATGCCCTAATTTCAAAAAATTAATCACTGTATAAAATGAAATGATTTTTGAGCTTTTTCACTGATATGGGAATAGATTCTTCATCTTTTTTGTTAAAATTTAAGAGCTATTCACATATATACACTTTTTTCAGTTAAAATAAAATGCAATACTTTAAACAACACAGAAGCCACCAGAGAAATGAAAAAGAAAAATCCTTATTTAAATCGGCTATTGAAGTTTTAAAACTAAGAAATCACAGAAACCATTCCAAGCTTATAGCAGACTGCTCTACTACTGGAACTGCTTGTATTTTTTAACTACAGAATATAAACTCTGATTACACTGAAACGCTGAACACGTATAAGAATTTATGTACAATACAGACCTGCAGGCTGACATCAGTTATTACCCACATTTACAAGGACAAAGAAAACCAAAAACTAACAGGAGAACACTGCTAATGCATAGCATGCCCAGCTGTAGATGAGAAGTAGTCATCAAATGAGGATCACTGCATTTTGGAACAGGCTGTTTCCAGCTCAAGTAGATGAGAAAAGGTTATTTTCTTATTTCTCCACATTATTCATACTAAGTGTGAACATGAGGCAAACAACCATTTTGATGTTCATGGTCTTTAGAACACATTAGTTTTGTTTTTCAATCGAAGTATTGTCCATATTATTCTGCTTTAGTTTTATGGTGGCAAAAAAAGACACGTCTTGGTCTCTGTCAGACTGCAAAGCAAGAATCGTCTCTTCTGCTGCTTCTAGATGAGGATTGCCAACACTTTTAAAATAAGCTAGAATAAGAGAAAAGACAATTGTAATCAAAACCAAAAGAACCGGTAAAAAAAATTCTTAAATTATAGGATGAATAAAGTGCAGGAATACAGAAGCTGCCAAAATCATCTGAAGTAGCACATCCAATTCAGAGACTCCTTAGAGAAACTATGCGAAGCTGCGGAAGCTGACAGAAATAAAACATGCTTCTTAACTACTTTTACTTAGACCCCACCCCCGGTATTAGTCGGTATTTCTAAAAGAGATTATTTTTGCAGAGCCCTACATGAAAACATATTAGGAAAAGCAAACAAGGTCAGGAAGCTGCTATTGTACAATGTTTTTACAGAAGACTCTGCATACTTGACTCTTAAGAGAGACAGAAAAAGAATTCTTTATTCATCTCCGTTCATATAACAGATGATCACCTGGGTTTAACTTTTGTTTTTAAGAAATCATAACACAGTCACCAGCACATGAAGTTACATTCTTTACTAGTAAAGAATTAGTAGAACATGACAACTTAAAACATTTCTGAAAATGGTAAAACAAGAATTACCACACAGAAAACTATTACATTAGTCAAAAAAGTTCAGAATCTATCAAAGAAATCTAACATAATTTTTAAATTTCTTAAAAAAGATATATTTGCTCACAGACACCTTGCAGACACTTAAATAAACAAACTGTCATTATAAACAAGTATGCCTCTGCCCTCTAGTGGATAAAGTGTTACATTTGTCAAATTAATAAATTTCAGCTCCTTTAGTGACACAATGACCAATATTCTAAGAAGGAAAAGTCACTGTAGATTTCCTAACTAAAAAAGCATGCCACCTTATGCATTCCTAAATCTGAACTGAAATGCAGTAACCCAGATTGTAGGGTACAGTTTGTTTTCAGTGTAAGTGAAGACAGCAATCACTTTATAATTTGAGTTAGCCAATTTGTAAAGAACTGCACGGGCAGAGGAAGGACACAATTCACGAGACATTAATTCTTCCAGGGGAAATTAATAACCACACCTTTCTCCAGCAGCGTCTGCCTTAGAGCCTTGGCGAGCAGAACCCTTACATTTGGCACAGGATCTGAAGCAAGACTTAAAAGACTGGGGAGTAAATGCTCAACAAATTGGTCGACAGGCATACATTCTTCTTGTACTACTGCCTGCAGGATAAATGCAGAACATGAGAAAGCAAGATTTATATTACCAGTACACTTCTTGCCAATCATTTTTGCTATTCTTAATTTGGCCTATCTGTGAAAAAGTCAATGTTTCATTATGAAAAGAATACTGTATGTTGGCAAAATTAAGTATAACCTTTATGAAATTGAAGTACTGTCATGAATATGTGTCTTACCATTCTAAAATACCTATGAAGATGATGCAACAAGGACAGACAGCTATTCTTTAAACTATATTCTAGGAAACTGTTTGCTTTTCTGTCATGATCCCTTTACCTTCTGACATTCAACTCCCACCCCCTTGCTCTCCATCTTTACTGGAATCAGCCTTTTGGTTTGCAGCTAAGTAAACAGTTCTCAGTATCTGACCACCATTGGTAGTTCAAAGTGATCTTACAAACCCTCATCCTGTCATGTCAAAGCAGATATTAGAAAATTCATTTCAACTTGGGACTCAATTCTTTCCGGTGCTGCTAGGATGCCAGAAAGGGCAAGAATCAATTGGCTGTTCCAGTAGAAGACAGGGCCCAGAACAGGAACTTGGGAGCTTTGAACTGGACAGCCACAGGCTACTGCTGAGACCAATTCCACTATTGCCTTTTTATCAACCCCAGAACAACAAAGCAGCTTCTTTGGGATACAAAATTCAGTTCTACCTGCACTGCTGAAAAGCTTCACACTGGCTCCAAAACAAACATACATAGAAGAGAACATTCCAACCTGACAAATGAAGGCGAAAGCTTGTCTTCCAACCCACTTGGAGCAGTGACGGAAGCGCACTACAAGCTCATTAATGAAATTTAATCCCAGTGCATTTGCATTGTTTGCATAAAACTTCTGTAGGATTGCCACAACCTGTGGGGCAAAGGGAAGGAAATCAGAGGTGAGATTTAAATTGTAGCACAAGCAATTAGAAAGATCTAAGAGTTCACAAAGGCTAGTAACTTCTGACTAGAGACAGACATCAGCTGAGGCTAAACCAATTCCTTACAAGAATCATTTTCCTGTTTCCACAGCAACCAAACTAGATTCCCTACCAGTCTGAAGGAGATCCACCGAACTTCCGACACTTTATCAGAGCAGAGAGTTAGTGCGATGTGTCTTAAGTAGTCATACACATCATTGGGATTGTAGAGTTCTAATATCAGGATCAGCTGCCTGAAACAGAAAAAAGAATTAGCTCTGGTAAGTGCAACTCTAACCCCTTCTCTGATTATACCACCTTGCAAGATGGAGGGAAGGTTTATTTGCATTTTTTAAGACTATCGTGGTTATTGCACAGCACTCAGGCAGTTTGTTCTATTTACTTTCTAAGGTGTGCACGTGTAGAGGGGCACATATTTTAATCCATCAAGTAGTGTAAGGTGTAAGACATCAAAATTACAAACCAAAGTACAATGATAAATTCCTCTGCAATTTCAAGCCAATACTCCAAATTCTTGCAACATAAAGATGACAAAAAATATACTGCAGTGAAGAGATCTACATTTCAGGAAACGATTTAGACATGGGAAAGTGCACAGAACTCATTCTAGCCATGCCAGTACTACTACTAACAGCAGCCACACACAAACCAAGCCTCTGAAGTTACACCCAGCTCTCCACTAGAGGTCAGGAAACTTCTATACAAAACTGCTGTAACTCAGCTACATTTAGTCTGTTGTATCAGGGAACGAGGAGATTAAATCTACAATAACCCAAACAAAGCACCAAGACAACTATTAAAGTCAGATTCCAGCTGCAAAATAAGTCATAAAAACAAAATAACCCCCCCACACACACACTACCATGCACACACACACACACACAAAAAAAAACACACCACAGAGGAAAACGGCTTTTCTATTATATGTTCTATGTAAGTTCCCTTATTAATGACTGCATGCATAAATTTTATTGATTTCACAAGATGGCCAGAACTGAAATCTAAGTTATCACCCAGTAGCTCTCAGAAAGCATCTACTATATCTTTGTATTTTTTAAGTTACTTGTATAGGTAACCTTGACAACTTGCAAGAAAAGCACTCATCTGCTCTTAAGTTCAGTTCCTTAATCAAGACTGGCTGTCATCTTTGGACTCAAAGATATGGTGTGCTAAATTCGGGGCACAATTAGCTATCTCCAAGTCAGTAACCTGGATCAAAATCAAAAATTCACAAGCTCACTTACTCTGCCAGCTCATAACGAAACCGCCAGTTCCTGCTGTTATCAGTCACCACAAACTCTTGAAGTTGGTAAAGATATTCTCGTCTTTTGTCCGCATGAAGTAGCTGAAGGAAAACCATTACTAGCATAAAACTAACAGAATTCAAAACTCAATTCTCTAGCGTATTCTTCCATTCACACCAATTTACAATTTCCCACCAGAAGGTGGGTGATCATTTGCAAGTTACTAAAGGTGGTGTACACCAACAGAGTGTCTGCACACAGAGACTGACATCTAAAAAAAGTATTTTTGCGATCACTTCTGCAAGGATATTGAGGCTTCCCGAACACTTCTGCAAGGCCTTGAAAAGGCCCCATCTTTGAGCATAAGACTGCGCAACGAAAAATTAAAAAATCTGTGTTTATTTTGCAACAGTTCAAAGATGTGCCCTTTCTTCTTCTATCCCAAACAAATTGTTCCTGGCCAACCTGCTAGCTTGACTGCACAAAATACTATTTCTTCTGTAACACTTAAGAACATGCACAAAGGGTTTCAGTTTTTATATTTTCATGAGATATAAGACAGCATAGAAGTGCTGGCTCATATCCCACAACCTTAAAAAGGCTATTACACATACAGACAGAGTAGCTGCATCTCACAAAACTGAGCATTCGTAATTGAATATTGATACCTACACATTTCACACACACAAAAAAAACCTGACATTTTCTCCTGATTTAAGTTTGTAATATTGAAAATACAAATTAGGTTTTCCTACCTTTAGAAAGTCATAGAGATGTTTAAGGACACCAATGCGCACTTCATCCAGATCTTTCAAAAACCCATTGAAAATGGGCACCAGGTCGGCAGCTGTTAACTGATCACCCAGGATAACAGCCAGCTCATGGATGGAGAAAGCTAGTGTTCGACGGACCTTCCACTGCAAGCAGTTTAAGAGGGCAATTAGATTAGGCAAAATAAAGAAGCTTCTGAACTACACCTATGTGAGGGATTGAGAGATCAGAAGAAACAGGACTAATTAAACAGCAGTAGAAAACGTTTATCATATTTATGAATTTTAAGTCTTGAATTCTAAGTGTACATTTTATCACTTATTAGAAATTCTCAAGTATTTGCTATTATTTATCACTTCAATGCACAGCCAAACTAACAAGCAAACTATTCAAAACTGTGATTTATCGTTTGAGTAAAACGATACCTGCACATCTGAGGCCAAAGTCTCGTATGTATCTTTCAGACAGTGCCAGTTCTGCCTGCCCAATGTCAAGGCCACCCCAGGAAGACTGTACGCACAGTGCTTGGCTATTTCAGTGTCAACAGTCTGGGCTCGAGCAGGGTCAGTCATTGACAAGTACTGGTCTAATAAAGGTTGAGGTATAATATCCTGCAGATAGAGACAGTAGATCAATAACATATTTTTCCCTTGAGTTAATTTAGGATCAGAAAGTAAAGACATCTGTTGGGCTAGAGTAATCTCTTGCTGCCCACCAGCTGCCAGCAGAATAGAAAGCAGTGTCCAAAGACCACATCTTGTGGGTTATCTTTACAAACTACTGTGCCCCCTTCTTAGTGATTTGTCCTCCCATTAGGATAGGGCAGCCAATAAAAGCAGTAAATATTTTATTAACGCATCAAAATTTCATGTTCATTGAAGAGGGACAACACATCCAGGAACAAAATAGCAGTCACCTCCCACCTCTGCTGCACAGATTGCCTGTGCTTTAGTGTCGAAAACACCAAAGGCAGTAGGTAGGCTCATTTACTAAAAACAGATTTTCTCCTAGCTTTTCCACTTAAAACAGGGTTCTCTCCACCTACAGCATCGCTTCAAACTCTGTGACTGATCAATTGCAAAGGCTGTTACTGTACTAAACATAAGAGGACACCACTAAAGAGGCTATATGTAACTTTAATCACCTGTAATTTTGACTTGTCATCTTCAAATGGTGGATTATTTTCTTGCTCTTTCTTTAAGAAAACACTAGATTCTCTGTGCTGTTCCTCTGAGTCCTGTAACAGGATTTCGTTAATAGTAAATGAAACGAATTAGACCTACCAACATTTAGGATATTTCAAAGCATCATAGTACAAAACAAAGCAATTCAGATACAGAATGGTCAAAGTTTTGTTCAATGTCTTTATGCAAGTCCAAAAAGTCAAAATAGCTGCATGCTAAGACAAATGCAACAAGACCATATTGGCAAAAAGCCTAATGGTAATGGTGTTATATTTAAACAAGCAATCTAATTTAATGTAGGAAACCCAACATCCATTCAGATTTTGGATGGTTACTTTTATGACAAAGAATTTTTATTCCTAGCATTAGTTTAATTATTTAAACAAGGCATCTGAGCAGTTGTTCCAGTGAAGTCAACAGCATAGCAGAAGCTTTATTTATTTTGGAATACGTTGCTGGAAACTCCAAGATTATCAAGTTATTAGGACCCCCAAATTATTCATATTTGAATAGTAGCAAAGAAAAGCTTAGAGAATAGTAAGATTTTAAAGATGAAAACCATATGTGGTTGAAAAGATAACTCAGCATTACACATTTTTGTTGAAGGAGTTTTTAGTTTACATATAGGTCTCTGATTTTTAGACAAAAAGAGTTTTATGATTCCCTCTTGGCTCCAGCAGCATTAAATACTTGCAAACATTTCTTTTAGATTCTATCTGTACTTTATAATCGCAAAATAGTAACAAGGAAGCAGGTAGGCGTCACCATCTGATTCAATCTCCTTTCTGGAGATAAGAGACCAATTTTAGATTTGTCACAGGAAGAGGCAAGAAACTGCCTTTTGTTTTTATAAATTATTCTCTCATGTGAAAACCCTACAGGGCTACTAAAAAATTTTAATTATCTCTGCACAAACAAAAATAATCTCTCTCAATAACCGATTTTATTAAACTACCAGCATATGACAGCTATGACATCGTAAAGTTCAAGGGCTTTAGACCAGAAGGGTGTGCATTATGTTGAGGAATCTATGAACGTATACACTACTTGAACTGGTAAGAATTCACCTACGTCATGGAGCACAACGTGTACTTACTGTGCTTTTCAGTATCCTAGTGGCAGACTGCTCACTGCCGTCATCCAGGGATGCACTGGACACGGGAGTGTTATCTTCTACACAGCTGCAAGCAGTATCTGAAATAGTTGCTTCATCTGAAATAGCCGTTTCATTCTGAAGCTTGCCCCTGCTCTCTTTTTTTTTCGTCTCATAGTCACTGATGGAATCAAACTGAGCAGCTCTGAGAGCAGCAGACAACACTTGGACCTGAGCTGTATAAAACAAAAGGAAACTACTTGGTTTTCTTCCAGTACTTTGAAACATTAAGCTTACAATTACCAAGGGGGAAAGTGTGGGTCCCTAAAATTCACAGTATTTAAAATTACCATATTCAAAAAAATCAAAGGTGCTTTGAGCAATTTCTAGAAAGCCCCAAACAACCGATTTCCCTTTTGCAGTCGGATCCAATCCTATTTCTTATGCTAGCAGAAGCTAAGGTATACTTGCTGCAGAGACGGTTTAAGTCTTAGGAAGAAGGTATAAATTCCCATAGCTGAGCCTGTGGCAAAATTATTTATTACTCAAACTGGTCTCATCACCTTATGAATACCAGGACAATTAGAACAGTCAAGGGTTTTGTAAAGGTTGTGGAAAAAAAACTGCTTGGAGGAAACACAGTTTTATTGCGAGAGTCTCACCTTGAACATCTGGATCATCCATGTGTTCCTGTAAGCTTTCTAAAACTTTTTTTATTTCACTACTGGCAACACAGTTATTACACTGCACAGAGCAGCTGTCTTTGTGCTTCTCAGACTTGAACTGAAGCAACTCCAGATCCTGGCTTATATCAGGCAGAGGAAGGCGCCAGTACAAGAAATTATTAAACACGTCCTCAGCAGACTGCAGCCTTGAGTTCATTCCTGGAAAACCGCTGTCCTTAGTGACCTCCCTGACAGCAGCAGCACTGTCGCCCTGAGACAGTCCGGTCAGGCTTTCTCCAGGATTAGTACAACAATCTGAACTTGCTTCCCACGTGTCTTTGCTTAGGTTCTTAACCGAGAGCCCTGCATTAACTTCAGCTGAAGTCTCCTCAGTCGACGACTCTTGTTTGATTTCCATTGGTTGTTCTGAACTGGTAACAGATACACAGTTATCCAATACAATTTAAAGCAACCTAAATCAGCACTTTTCAGTGAAATACTTCTCACAGCCACAACTACAGCAGTTTATTTGCCATGATGGATGCTTACATTTAGCACTATGTTTTACTTCACTACTTTTCCCTTTGCCCTCCTCCTGTGCGGGCATCAAAAAAGTCCATTACATTTCAATAATGAGGCTACCCCCAGACGCATGTGCAATCTCACCCTTTAAATCTTTCCTAGAACCACGACTTTTAAGGTCTTTAGTCCTGAACAGCAACGAAAATAATCTCTTAATAACAACCTCTTTCTTTTCCCTGCTCCAAACTTCCTACCTTTCCTATGATTTACCTGGAAGATGCTACATTTGTACTAGAGGACATAAACTTTATATTGTTGGTTGCTTGACAGGAATTGGAAGCCACATCTTGCGGTGAGGGTCGGATACTCAGCGTACCATCTTCTCGAATGTAAAGACCAGCACTTGAAGGGTTTGCAAAGGTAGAAATGAAGGGGCCAAGGGACTGAAAAGCAGCCTGACGAACCTGGACAAGTGTAAGGACAGAACACTCAGGATTCATGCAACTACCACAGGGTTAAAGTTGAAAAATAAAATTTGGTTCAAAAATATTTTTAATTGGAAAACCTTCATTTAATACTTAAGCAAGGATGTGAGGCTATTAAGTGTATAACTACAAACACAGTAAAGAAATTTTTGAAAGCTAAAAAAAAGAAATGTCTTTTAGAAAGAAAAAGAATTTTGAAAGAGGTCACTTCATACTTTAAATGGTATCTTTGACAACTGCAACCTAATCTGAACAGCTTTTAAGGGGTAAACTTTTAGAAATGTCATGTTCAGATAGGAATTTAACAACTAACGACATTTTACATTGAAGTAACAGAAGAAAGGGGAAAAAACTGAGATCATTGATCTTATTTAGAGTTTTGGCCAAGCAAACCCAGTTCGGAGAATATTTACAGCACACTTTTGACTTGCTCATTATTTGTGTTCGACTTGTGTTCAAAGATGCATCGGTTATGAAGTGATTTACTTACCCATCTGCAAGTGTCACTAATGAGACTGATAAAGAGTGGGGACAGTTTGCTCCTGCGAACTTCTGGGGATGTGGTATAAGACACTGCCATAAAACATTCAGCACAAGCTTTCCTCATTCCCCAAACACTATCCGAGCAAAGTTCAAAGAACTTTGGAATCTGCCAAAAATAAGCCAAACCAAGACTAATTAAAAGAAATACTGCAGCAACTTCACATCAAGGTATCTGTTTGGAAACTGGAGACAAGGAGAGCGTCAGGGAAGAAAAAAAAAAAAAAGGTGAGAAATTAGAGAAATAGAGACAGAGAAATTGAAGAAACTTGAAAAAATCCATCTTCTACTTGCTTTATTACAAATTTATGTATAATTATACCTATTTAAAAGAATAGGAAGAATTATTAATGGTCTGTTTTTTTATCACATAGTTCAAAGGAAGAGCTAATAATTTAAGAATTTTCATATGGATTGTCAATTACACTAAGATAGAAATAGAGGGAAGCATTTTGCAGGAAAAAAAACCCATCTATTTCTGTTCACTCTTGCATTTTTGCAGTCAAAGCTTTCACCAAATGCACTTCAAAAAATAAAATAAAATACACACATATGTGCACTGATGGCGAAGACAACAACAAAACTCTCATAATTAAGCCTTTTGAGCTGACAAATGCAACTCTCATAAGTGGGTTTTGATTTTTACATACCAGAAGTCTCTCTGTGGCTTCTTGCCCAACTGCATTACAAATGTCACCAAAATTAGCTGCACAAATCTAACAAAAAGATTAAAAACAAAACATGCATGAATAAGATCCTCGCCCTTTCAAGTACTTTAAAAAAAAAAAAAAAAGCTAAAGTCACCATTTATTATTTATCCCATGTAACAATTGCACATTTGACTATTCAAATTTCACTTGTGTAACTGTACCCTGTAATATTAACTCCTTTCCTGAACAATATTCATTTGAACAAGTTTCCATAAGCCACATGCCTTTGAAATCAATAGTACGATGGGCATCTGCATTGTGAAAAGTCTCATCTACCGCAGCAATCATTAAAGGGAATAATAAGCCCACTTGAAGTTAAAATGACACTGAGCAGCAGCTGCCAGAAATGAAGCACAATAAAATACGATACGAGGGTCAGGACTTAGGTGTACTAACAGAACTATCTTTACTATGGCTGAGGCTGGCTCAAGCCCTTTGCTGAGGGAAAGTTTAATCAACGTTTTAAGACAGCGCCATTTACAGCACTTTACAAATGCTATAATCTAGGCAGAGAGAATATTCTTTCAAAATAGAATACTGCCAAAACCTGCAAACAATTATGCTAGGACTATGTTTATATATCATTTAGCTAACACCTTTTAATTCTACATGCTTATTATAAGAAAGGTATGATGCAGCTCAAATTCCTATAACCACGTCTAACATTATGGAACAAGCTGAAGCTCTGCATAGCTTTTAAGTATACTGAACTATTTCAAGACTTGTTGTACTAGCAATTTCATTCTCAGTAATGATTTGAAGTACATAACATACATTTCTCCTTTCATGAATGCAAGGCTTAAAATACAAGTAAATAACAGGAAAATAGTATGTTTGAAATATCTGGTATTTTTGAATTTAATTTGAATTTAATTCTGAATGTTTTTGAAATAAGAAGGTATAGAAATGCTATTGTTTAATTATAGGGTGTAAACAAACGTAGCTTAAAGAAAACGTTACGCAAAACCATTCAATGGTGCAAGATCAAGCTAACTACTAAAATGCCATTCACCAAGGACTGCTATTTATCCTTTACTAAACAAAGAAATTATAACCCTGTCAGTGCATTAAATAAAATTATTGAAGTAAGCATTTGATCAGTAGCATACAAACTCATTTTATCTATTTCAGGGTCGAAAACACCATGCCAACCTTTCGGACTTGGAACAGTTTCCCATCACTGCACAGTTCACAGAAACGAGGAAGCAGCATGTGTTCAACAGTGGTTCTGCTCAGCATAGAAGCCATTTTACAGATGATCTGGAATCAAGAAGGGAATGTGTATAAGTTGTTTACCGCAAAAACATTTTTTTCTTAAAAATATAGTCTGATATTCCTCCTAAATGTTCCTTCAGGAAGGAAGAAAACATCTACCATTGCTCAAAAATAAGTGTTTTTGCAATATTCATAATTTCATATACTTATTCATATGAAGCGGAACTGTAGTTTTTGTACTGTATTTATTGTTCTGTGCCACTGTATCTGAGCATAACATTTCTGTATGTAATTTAACTGGATAAACAAAACCATAAATACACTTTTATTATAAACGGATTTTCAAGTTGCTTTGCAATGAGGCATACACTGATATTTTTACACAAAGACAAGAAGAATTCCACTGCTGTAATCAGCACACAAAACTATAATATTTACATATATGAGAAATCTCTGGTGCGCAAGTAAATGCTTTGCCTTCCAGAGACTGATCAGAGGCTTAAAAACAAGAACATTCCCAGTTCCTTAAAAGATCAGTCTAAAAAGACAGCATAATACAGTAAGTTTGCCAACAGGAGAGAAAAAAGGAGAGCAAGACAAACTAGTTGCTTGGATTAGCTAGTGCATGCAAGTTCTAAGAATTAGCATCTCGTTGTAAATAAGGAAAGTTAGTAACACATTAACTTCCATTTGAGGAAGTGCCGGCTTCAACTACCACCACAAACTATGTTTCTGTTCTGGGAAATTAAGTACATTAGACTGTTTTCTTTCAACTCCTACTTTACGGAATAACTCTACCAACCTACATTTGCAACTGTAAAGAGGATGGAGCTCCCACACACTTTTCTGTTCAACTGCTCCACCTGCAGCACCAGCAGCTACGTGCTTACACAGGTGCTGTCAAATTAACACGACTCATCTTTATTTTTATTTTCCGAAACAAAAAGTTGAAAATTTCTACCTACATCAAATAAGCTTTGTCTCTGGAAACATTTATCTTTGTAATAGCATATTAAATAAGAAGAAAGATGCTATTCGATTCTTTCTGCAAATTGTCGAACTTCTAGAAGACATCTGGTACTCAGATGTCACCCTGGAAAACTCAACTCCCACAGAAAAGGAAAATCTAGCTGGTGAAACTGTTTTACAGGCCAAGTGCCAGATATCCACGCAGAAATGTAATTACAAAGCTCCGCTTTTTGTGGGGGTCATCTGATTTCTTTAAAGTGAACAGAGAGAACTGTTTCCAACGACTAGGACTGTACTCATCCTTCATGCATTCTTGCAACATTAACGTGAAACCTGGAAAAGCACATGGGGGAACCTGATCTTAAAAAATATTACAACCAAGCTAGCAACAAGTATAGAAAGTAGTAAGTTCTAAGTTCAGCAACAAACAAAATTCCCAGTGCTGAGCAAACAAAGTAAGATTTTTATTTTGTTTATATTTAGTAAAATACCACACAAAGTCATTATAAATATATACTCTAAAGTACCTTAATTAATAGCACACTAGAATACACATAGAATATACTAAAGTCAATGAATTACATTCAAAACTAATGATAGGACAGATCAGCAAGCATTGAGATGGGAATAAAAAAAATTGACAGAAAAAAATCAGTTTTCCACACCCTTGCACTGACCAACTACATAAACACATTTCCTAAAAAGCTATGGAATTTGAAGATATAAGCTTTCTTCCGGTTTTACTTACATTCACAGCTTCCACCTTGTACTCATCATCACTGTCAGGAGCAGAGAGGTCCAACAGAATTGGACACACCTTATTTTCTATGTCACTCTGAGCAACAAGATCTTGTTCTAGCAGTACAAGTAGTGCTTCTTGACCTGCCTTTCTAACCTATTAATTTCAATGAAAGAGGAAAAAAAAAAAAAAAGTCCATCACTAAAACAAAATTAACTGATGTGAGAACCACAAAAGACATGCTTTCATCAAGCACACAGCTATGAGTTTCTTTAAAAAAAAAAGTAGAAAAAAAATCAATATAAGGCATTACTAATAAAGATTACATTTTCACGTCATTGCTAGATGTCCTTTAACCAAATTCAGAAGAGTAGCCAACAGATGAAGTATAGGATATTCCTACAACAGACTGTGACAATGAGCTGCTGGGCAGATCTTTTCAGTTTCCCATTCTCTCCAAATGAAACGAGAGAAAAATTAATCAGACTTCCTTGGCAAAGTGTGTTAAAATCACCACAAGAGTGAGGCATCAATTAGCCAAAAAAAAACAAACATTATTTCTTTCTCATACCTCAAGTTTATTGAGTCACAGTGAATTTTCCAAATATTCACGTAGTCTGCTGTTTCCTACCTGATTGTTAACATCTGTGAGGTATCTCACTACTATCGGCATAAGATATTCAAAAAATGCTGTTGGGAATTTTGGTCGACTTTCCTGTAGAAAAATGGCAATGGGAGGTATTTGTTCCATCAGCTCTGTACGCACAGTTGGTTCTAATAATAAGAAGAAAGTCAGAACTGAATCAGTAAATCCAAAGTTACAATCATGTGCTCTTAAAAAAGGCAAAAACAACAAAAAAATCTCTCTCACACTTAAAATGCTTTCATGATAGTGAAAAATGAAATGATTCAAAATGTAAGGAAATATAAAAAAAAAAAAGTGAATAAAATAGAATAGCCTCATATACAACATCATAGACCAGAGATTTGGCATCAGAGTTCTAACGAACTGGTTAAAGTGAGAGCATATGCATATGTTACAAGTGAAACTGGAATTAAAAGCAAAACATATTTTTACTCCATTACATCTGGTAATTCAAGGCTTCTTGTAATTCAAGACTTACAAGAATAAAAATTTAACACTTATGTGCCCTCTTTTAAGTTATCAATGACTTCCAGAGTGTCACAGGCCAGGTGTCCCTATTAAATTAAAATCACTGCATTAATCAGCCATTTCCATGCTTGGATACAAGATAAGTGAATTTTCAAAGAAGAATAAGGTAAATGAATTGCCAAATTCAAGTAATCTTTACAGGAGCCTGCAGCGACCAGCTGCCAAATGAAGTTCAAGTTGGAAATTAAATTTCTTTCATCATGAAAGAGCTTTTCAAATAAGACATCTAAATACTAAGTTAAATACTCAATAAATATTCCTTGTCTTCTCAAAATCTAAAATCACTGCTTTCTCTATATATAGTGTACATGTAAAATGAGTTACAAAAATTAAAAACGAGTTACAAAAAATAAGAAATTTTCAAACCTGCATCTTCAGAGAGCCTGACCACTATCTCCATTACAGTCAGGAAATCTTCCTCATTATTACTGAAATCTCGGAAGACGTCCAAGAGACCTCTAGCAATAATTTGCCTGTGGAGGAATAATATATTATATGCCTGCTAACAACATAGAGATGGGAGGAGACTAGAAACTAATCAAATGTAAATGGCCATCCTAAGAGAAGACAATCTCTTCTCTGAACACTCAGACATACTAGCTGCAGTTTTTCTGCAACCCAGCAAAAGAAAGGTGGCAGAGTTCAAAGATCCTATTCAAATGACCAAGAAATAAAACTAGTGTTTTCTGATATATTTAAACAGAAATAACATTAAGCAAATATTCAGGAGTGTAACACAAGAACTAGTAATATCATAAAATTCAGTCTTGTGAGATTAGCATCAAGTATAACTATTACACCCTCACCTGTTAAATATGTTATCACTGAAGGCATACTTTTCCAGACGAGCCAATGGAGTCAAATTATCCTGCCCAGGAATGTCCAAAAATGCTGTTATCCTCATGCTATCGCAGTCTGGTCCATAATCTTCAAACCCAACTTGAAAAATAAAAAGAGCAACAAAAACAAAGAAATAAAACAAAGTCAGCAAGACAAGTTACAGGGGAAAAAAAAAAACTTCCAAAGTAAAAGCATCTCTTTTTAGACTTATTCTGCAAAGCAAATATATCTGTACATCACCAGGAACTTCTTACAGAAATCTTAATTTGCATCTAGTGAACTCAAGAACAACACTTGTATATGCATCAATCCTTGAAATGTAATCCATCTCAACTGTCCTAATATCCTTGACTTTTAACATATTTTACTTCACAATTTGAGCAGACTAATCACATACACTGCAAGTTAAATGGGCTCAACTGACAAAGTTTCATGCTTACAAGCTGAGACACAAATCCTTATGGAAAAAAAAAAAACAGTCCTATTTAAAAGAATTAGAAACAGTAACGGATAATCCAAAACTATATTGCTTTAAAGCAGCAAAATATTGGGTGTGTTTCAAAGTTATCAAGGCACATTTTCCTTACTGCAGTTACTGAGATCCATGCATCTAAATCAGATTTGCTGCTTTGAGAAAGACCTTAACTTCACCTCCCCTTCGAACATATTTCAAAGCTTTCTACTGCATACCTATCAAAAACAGACTTTCTCATGCAGATCTACTATCTTCCAAATCTTTTATTTATTTGTAACTGGAATTTTCTAACAAAAAATTACCAACTATTGAAGTTTGCCCACCCAATCTTATAAAAATCTAATCCAGTAGCATTCACTTGATTATAGGTTACGGACAGAAAGGTTTCAGACAGAGCAAGAAGGAAAACGAACAGCCTAACTTTGCTGGTGGGCCAAATAATTTTTATGCTCTTTCCTTAAAACAGAAATATAAAGATAGCCAAATAACCTGCCTGCAGCAACACTAATCTTTCATACACATTCCCTTATTTCAGCAGTGAATACAAGAACACAGAAAAAGCAGAAGCCTAAAGAAAGAGATGCACTGAAGTAGCTGTTATTCCTACTCTAAATTAACAGCTTTCTCACCAAATATCCCTAGAAATATCCAAACTTTGCTCACGTAAACAACACAGCTACTCTAATCATAGTACTTGTACAGCTTCTTATGCCCAAAAAGAAGTCTCTTGCAAGCCACCATGTGTCCTAAGAACGAACCACTGAATAAAATAAACCAGTTTTGGACATAGCAAGACATGATATTAAGTATTTAAATCAGTTAAGGAAGAACATAGTTGAGAAGAAGTGAGAGTAAAATGAAAAGTCAAATATACTGCATTTTAAACTAAGACTATGAAAATATAATGTAGGTACCCTTGGTTATGTCCCTTAAACGGAGATCTCCTATCTTCAAGGAGAGGACATTGAGCAATACTTCTATTAAATAAATAAATATCTGACTAAATACTCTCAAGCTATGCTGGTATCAATTTTCAGCTGTCTTCCTACAGAAGAAAAAAAAAGTGATTTCAGGTGTAAGTGCGTTCCAAGTAGTTTTTGCTTTCCATCTTCCTCAAATGGGTCAGATCTTTGGAGGATCACCTTGTTTTTCAAACTGACAAGAGTTATCCCTTGCTTTACGAGGGGATATTTATCACAATAGGTATACAAATCCTTCCAGTTTCCTCAATATAAAAGAAAGGGAAAGCAGCTGGGACAAATTATATGTTTGAAGCTGAAGTTTGAGGAAACACATTTTCAGGACCAGGCACAAAGACCAAAACATTCTCAACAGAAGTGCAGCTGATCTCGGAAAGAAATAGCTCATCTCGGAAAGAAATTAGCTTAATATATTTGAGGCAAAGTGCTATACCTGGGTCTTTGAGGTGGGGGAGCAGCAAACTAGTGTCTCTTGAATTCACAGTGTTTCCTAGGAAGGCACTGTAATTAACAGACTCGTGAAACAATTCTGAATTCTGTAATTCTTTCAGACTGTAATCTGAAACATAAAAGGTACTTACAAAATTCAGAACACACTGCTGTACTAGAAAATAAATTACAGAAAAAAAAATCTTAATGTATCTACTGACTTATTAATGTATCTAATATTCTTCCACAGGTGAGTCAAACTCTGAGAGCTTTTCCTTCTGATGATGACAAATAAACAATATCCATCTATATATTAGAAGATCCAAGGCAACCTCCACAGCTCACCTTGAATCTAATATGCCTTAGTTTGACCTAGACTCAAAAGCTGCTTAGAGCCGACAAGGAACACTTATGGTGCCACAGAATTTAACCAACTAGGCAATTCAGTATCATTATCTAGTATCGCTTCATCACTAACCAGCCCATAATGCACAATTTCATGAATCCAAGGGCATTTTCTCTCACAGCTTCAAGATAAATATATGTACATATAAAAATATATTTCCTTTACTCAATGAAAGGAATTTCTACTGCCTTACAAAAACATACTTTTTTTTTTTACCTGTTCTCAAAGAATTTACATAGATTTTTATTATTGCTTTCTCCTAATTCAAAACACTCCTCCATACAATTTGCTTAGTGAAATTGACTGCAACTCAGGATGCTTTCCTCGGTGACGATAACATTATTTCACCAAATTATTTCGTTCAGAAAGTAAACATGCAGTTCTAGTGATTGATTTCACTAACAGTTTTTTAAAACTCAAGTACAATATCAAGTACAAACTCAAATACAACATCTTTCAAGGCCATATTTTTAAGTGCACCTTCAAGTTAAGGAACATAACAAAATTTTCTGATTTTCAAACGTAAATGAACTGTCAATAGTGCTTTAAAATAGATGCTTCACTTTGTGCACAGGCCCATCCTGAAACTGATTCATTCCTGTACACAAATTTTAAGTGAGACACAAAAAATATATTAATCAATGCTTCAAATTCAAGCACAGCAAGAAATGCTTTGTCTGAAGATTTTTAACTTCATCCACAAAGATAAAAACTTTTAATCAACTCACCAGACAAATTCTACACTGATGGTCTCAACAGAATACCCAAAGACTGAGCACTTAACAGAGAATGGCCAAGGGCTGAACACTAAAGGGAGAACAAACTAACCTCTTAACTTCTAATGATCGCTCCCAATTCAAGGCCAAAGACACACAGCAGAGGGCTATAGAAAAGTATGCATGTATTGCTGCTGCTTGTTCTTAAATCAGCAAACAAAACTCAAATCACTGGTATCTTTCTTTATTGCAGGGAGAGGAAAACAAAAGTCAGGAGGAAACAATTCAGAAAGAACCAACAATTCAAATAGCTAAGTATTCCTTAGCGTTGTGAAGGCTTTTAAAAGATGAAATTATGGAATAGAGGAACACAAAAATTTTCAACACCTAAGTAAGAGACTGCAACAGCAACTATTGCAACTTTTCTACTGCTAAAGGAACTCAGAAGTGAGAAAGATGCCTTGACCTCTTCAAAAACACCTTTGAATAAGCACATTTAAACGTATAAGCAAGCTTCCTCCTCATTTAAAAACCTGTGTTCAAAACATGCACACATTTTGGTATCAAAAGTGTTCACAAGAACCTGTTCCGTTTACTGCAGGAAGCCATAACCTTTAAGTGGCTCTCTCAAACAACTTCTTACACGGTGTTTTCAAACCCATACCTACTAAATACATTTCTTTCAAATATTATCCTCTATGTTCTTCCCATTACAACTTATTTAGACTTAAGAATTTTCTAATAGGCAACTATGTTTAGGAAGGGAAAAAAATCTTTTAATTTTATCCATTCTTTAAGACACAAACTGCTACAACTAAATCTATCTACAAGACATCTCCCTGTTAAAAACATTTTGTGATGCACAAAAACACAAACACAAGAGCAGCAAAAACCTACCACAAATCTTGCATACAATTAATCTCGCAATTTACACATTTTCACCTCAATCAAAAAAGATCCAAGTTATTCTCCAAAGTTAACGAAAATGCAAATGACACAAGCCTTTCTGCTACCTAGCAGTAAAATGCAGAAGCCTCAAGGACAGAAAGCAACAATTAGCAGCAATTACGAGCATTCCAATGGAGGATTTTCCTGCGGGTGCAGGAGGATGTCCCTGCATGTCACAGTCCTGCTCTTCCTCCGGATTGCCTCCTTCCTACATTTGCTTCCTTACGATAGATTCGGGGGAAGAAAAACATCCTTCCGTGACACGTTTTCACATACTACTAAACGCGAACATTTGCAGCGCGAACAAACCAGCAAGAATCACAGGAAACCAACGCCAGCAGCAGCTCTCCTCTCTGCAGAGAAGGGCCAAACCAGCGCTCAGAGCGCCCGGGACACCGCAACGCGCATCTCAACAGGGGCGGCCAGAGACTCAACTGCCCGCTCTGGAGCGAGGCGAGCGGCTCCCCGGCCCGCCTGGTTCAACTGCCCGCCCTGGAGCGAGGCGAGCGGCTCCCCGGCCCGCGACGCGGCGCCGGGGGGGCCCCGGCTGGGGCCCCGGGC